ACATCTCTCCCCTATTTATATAGTGTCCCCGGTCTAAACTTTGACTACTTAACACAATGGACTCCCAGCTTGCTAAGTTTGGCGTTTAGTCTAACATCTTGGTCAGACATTCAAAGCCCTGTATAGTCTATGTAGCCAGATTTTACTTAGGGATTCTAAAGATATTCACTCCCATACTTTGTGCCTAAATAAATCTAGGTGCTGGAAATACAGCCACCGATGCAGTAACTTATTACTGCACACAGAAGTTGCATTCTAGAGAGGAGACACAAACGACAGGCAGAAAAGCTAACACACACCCTAGAGAAGGGACTGTGAGGAGGAGGGCGGGGCCCTCCAGGTAGCGTGATCGCTGCAGGAGCAGGTGTGGGACCTCTCATGTTTGTGGGAAGAGCATCAGATGCACAAAGTTCAAAGCCTACAATGAGAGCTTGCTTATCTAGAGGGACACAGCACAGAGACTGGAGTCCGAGCAGGTTGGACAGGAGCAAGTCATGTTGCTATTAAACTAAGGAGAGCATAGGGCAAGCTGAATAAGGCAGGGACTTCAGGCTGTTTTGACTAGGAAAGCGACCTGTTTTTGAAAGCACTACATCAACGGTACAGAGAGGAGACAGGGAGGCGGGTAGAAGCTGAGTGTAATCAAGAGGCTATCCTGGGTAGATGCTGAGTGTAATCAAGAGGCTATCCTAACAGTCTGAGCAGAGGTTAGAGAAGCTGTGGGCACAGAGGACCTGGGATGACACCGGAACTGAGCTGGGAGATGGAGGAGCTGTCACATTTTGAAGGCAGCGCTGACACTTGCTGATGTGCTGGGTCAAAGTGGAAGAGAAGGAAGAGAGTCAAAGACCATGCAGAAGTAACTGAAACCCGCTACTGTTATTAACTAGGCCTGGAAGATGCCTGTGGGCAGAGAAGGAAGCACACGGGAAGGGGGAAGAGCTCAGCTTTGGCGTATTTAGGTTGAGGTGACAGGAGACACCCCAGCAAAGATGTTAAACTGTCAATGGGATATCTGAGTTCAACGCTCAAGAGTGAATACACTAAATGAACTTGGAAACTTTGGTAGCGTGTGGCAGAGGCCAGTGGACTGCACCTGGGTCATTAGTATAGGTGGGAAGGACAAGAAAGGTTGGGGAAGGGCAGCTGTATGTGGGAGGGAATGGCTTAGGAGCCAAGGGCAGCAAGGGCAGCGAGAGGAAGAGAGATGAATCTTAAAGCAATCATGTTCGTGTTTGTGGGCTGGCCAGTGGAATGAATGACCCTGACATTGTGAGCACCAAGTCTGTGAAAATAGGACTTCATTTCTCATTGCACATGAGCATCTGTGTAACACGCTGCCATACTGTTTACATACTGTTTATGTAAGTGCATTTGACCCCGTGCAGTGAGCTGTGGTAGCAGTGACGACAGGCTCTACGGAGACAGAGATTACAGTTTATTTTCTAGCCGATCTCCTTCACATAGCTGTGGCAACCCTCCTCGCACGCTTTCTTACCCTCAATATATATAGCTCTGCTGCCCATCCAGGCAGGCCTTGGCTACACCTCTCTTCCGATTCCATCCCCAGCAAATGTCACAGGCATTCTAGATCCACCTAAACACGACATGGTCCAGAAATTCTATAGGCCTTTGGGGGTTCAAATAGGGTTTCTGTAGGCCTCACCTTGACGTTTATCAGAGCACGCTGTATTTACACCAGACTTCAAAGCCACACAAGGATGCCCAGATGGAAGGGAGGAGAACTTCCATGGAGACTGTGCAGTTTCTTATTCCTTTAGCTCCTGGAAGACATTCAATAGTAGCAGCAAGAACAGCCTCCTTCATTTGCTCTCCTGTTTGAAGGCAAGGCTGGAGGCACAGACTTACCCAAAGGGAACCAGAATTTATTTTTAAAACCAAAAAGTCCCAATAGTTACCAAAGGATTGCTCTGTGAAAACATGAGAAAAATGGGTAGGAAGGGTGAGCTGAGCCTTCCAGCTTATGATATGGTAAGTTCAATGAAACTGCACAGTTAAAAAAAAAAATGACCTTCTTTTCAACTCTCTACAAGCCTATCACAAAAGGGGAGAACAAGGCACTACCTGCTCAGTTCCCTGACTTCCTGCTCTCAGTGCAAAAGACAATAATAGACAAGATGCGCTGATGGGATTATGTGGGAGCTGCACTAGATACGACCCTGAATAGTCTTCTGAGCATGTGCTTCAGTTACAGTGAGAGAACTAGAATCACACACACACACACACACACACTCCTAGACTAACCCAAGGGGACAACAGCACAGGACATCTGAATTCTACTACTGCCAAGCTCTGTGACCCAGTATCACAGTTTACAACCCCATGCCAGGAGGGAAAAATCAAGGGAAGTATCGCGTGCATGCCTCCTTCCAAGGGAAATATCCTGTGCAGGCCTCCTTGCCGATCTCTGTCATGGTGACATCCTTAATCCCCAGATGGCAGGAAGCAGAGGCTCTGGGGTTCAGAACAATGGAGCACTGTGAACCCAGGGGGCACACCACTGGTTTCAGACCTAGATGGCACAGGCTGGAGCCACAGCACAGAGGGTTTTCCTGCGGTGTTGGGGTGCTCTTGGTGGAGTTACTAAGAGAAGTTTGAGGTTCTGAAAGATAACTCTGAACTTGCGATCTCAAGAAAAATAGACTGCGCACCAGAGTCACAGCTGGAAAACGTGACTCCCTGTGGGTCTAGCCAAAGCTAAATCCTCTTTTTCTGTGTTGTGTTTGGTCAAATTAATTTCTGTCCCTTAAATAGCTGAGTTTCAGGGCTAGAGAAATGGCTCAGAGGTTAAGAGTGCCTACATAAGTCAGTTCAACTGCTTGTAACTCTAACTCCAGGGGTCTCCTCAGCATCTAAACTCACAGCAAGCATACCCATCCCTCCATCCCCACCCCCTCATGCACATAATATAAAATAAAGTTTGGGAAAACAGAGCCAAGTTTCATTCTACTTGAACATTTTTTTTTAACATGTAAGTAATTCCAGTTTCTACCTATGTACATTGTGCACAAGAGAATCATTGATACAGTCAACCACCGCCAAGTTCAAATGTGACCTTCAGTTGTATAGTCAAGAACTGTTGCTCCTGAGGGTCCCCATGCCCTACTCATTACTTGCAGGCTGCCTGGTAGATAACCAATATGAGTGCTTACTTAGGAGTTTCTATTGCTATGATAAGGAACAATGACCAAAAACAACTTGGAGAACAAAGAACTTATTTTATTTCACGGCATCTAAGTCCATCACCCAAGGAAGTCAGTGCAGGAGCTCAAGGCAGGAACCTGGAAGCAGGAACTGAAGTAGAAACATGGAAGAGAGATGCTTATTGGCATGCTCAGCCTGCTTTCTTGTATCATTCAGGACCACCTGCCCAGGGGTGGCAGCACTGCCCAAAGTGCCCTGGGCCCCTCACATCAATCAGCAATCAACAAAGTGTCCCACAGGCTTGTCCAAAGACAATCTGGTTGGGATATTTTTTCTACTGGGGTTCTACCTCCTCTAATGACTCTAGGCTGTGTCAATTTGACTTAAAACTAGTCAGCACAATGGGACAACACAAAGATTTTGCTGGCCTAGGGTGACATGCAGGTACAAAGAACAATTACAGCAATAAAAATTATTCTATGTAAAGGCCTACATTTTCTTTTGTAAGCACTTTTCAGTATTGAGATTCTCTTTATGTTATTGAATGATGGGCACAAAATTTCAAAATATGCCTTACCATGAAAAGTAGCTGGCATGTTCATCTATCCATGTATGTTTAGAAATGTGGGCTCTGGGAGTCCAGTGACCTCAGCTTTATTCCCTCACCATGTGTATGGTCACCTGGTGTCAGGGGTGGGGAGGGAGAGAGACACTAAGAGTTAAACCAGGGCTAACAATAACCTGCCAAAGTGTGGGAGCTGAGTTAACTGCCACAAACAAGAAAATGATGGGTCAGTGCTTCTTTTCATCACCATGTTTCCCAATTACAGCTTCAGAACCCAGCACTTCCAATATTAAACTTCCCCTTCACAGCAGTTCAGTCACATTTACTATTCTGTTGTCAAATTCATCTCCTTCATCTGGAAAGAGGCAAATGATACCCATCATGGCCAGCATCAAAAATTCAACTGAGCAAGTTGAGACCTCGTGGAAGCGGCATTACACACCCGGACCGTGAAGAAACATTTAGACAACAACTCTACTGGACTACCAAGACGTGCGTGAGGCTTAGCTCAAAATTCAGTCCAACATTCTGTATCTAAATGTTAGGAAGGGCACCTACCTAATACACTCTTAGCTTGGTGGTAACCATCAGTCACAGAAGTATGGCTGCCATGGTAAGCAAACATTTATACAGTCCTGACTTTACAGAGAATCATAGTTGGACTAGAAAGGTTCCTTGTGATTAGGCCTAACCTTGACATTTTATGAATGGAAAAACAAGGGAGAAGGTAGAGAGAACACAAAACTAGGAGGCTCAGCCCTGGATTTCTTTCTGGATCAAGCCTAGGGCTTTTCTCCATTATGGGCGTTTACTGCTTAGTTATCAATTTTCAAGATTTTATTGTTCTGAAGAAACTTGATACATTGCTCAAAATGCTCCAAATGTTATGTTTAAGAATAGCAAAATCCCACATAGAAGAATGCATTGTCTTTACAAGCATTTGAGGGCTCCTTACTTCAGGACATTTATTACTAGTCTAAAAGAAACCCACGAAACAATGTAAGAGAATACTCATTGGTAGATCGCTAAGATGGGGTAAATGCACAGAAATATATAAAGCACCTCCACCCTAGATTTCAAAAATAAAAACAGTTCAAACAACTACTGCCATGCCAATCAAGTCTCTCACAAGGCAAAAGAAATCTTCCAAATCTTTAATCTTTAGAGTGCAACTAGCCAGAAGAATCATACTAGGTGTGGCAGACAGCAACAAGAGTCAATGCAGCAGAAGGGATACCAAGTCACTGCCAGTGAGACAGGAAAGACACACTTATTTTACATCAGTAGTTTTATTACATTATACACTGACACACAATTAGGAAAGGAATGTTCTGGCATTTCTGAGTATTTCATGGAAAGCAAAGTCACCACCCAGGCAGTAGTCACCCACATTTTTTTCCGAACAAAAAGCAAGCTTTTACATGCGATAACTCATGAAAATAGTCTTTTTACTCTTGTCTAGAAGACGAAAACGTAACATGAGCTGGGAAGGGATGAACTGCCCTCACAAAGAAAGGAACATTTCCTTTAGATGTCCAAGTCCTGCCTTCAGGTTTCCCCCAACAACCTAACTGACTGTTACTATACTTGAGGAGGCTGTGTGTCTGGGGACTACATGGACTCTGCTGAGAAGACCAATGATTATAATGCTACCATAAAGGAAAGAAAAAGATAAACTGAAAAAGTAAGTCCTATACAAAGCTCTTTCCACAAAATTCATTTAAGATGTTAGAGTTACCACAAACATCTTGACTCTTTTAAGATCACCGGCAAAAGCTTGTTACTCTATCTGAGAAGGGGCTCTGCTTTTGCAGCAGCTTAGGAGTCGACCATGGATGATGCAAAGTCACTGACTCTGTTGAGGCAGATACTAGATAGTCTGGAGTTCACAGGCAGCTTTGGATCCACCATGTGAAAGACAGAAGGAACCTTGACAATTTCCCCTCAACAATCACTGTAGCAGGCAGGAGTTTAAATCCCTTCAGTGCTCAAATATACAAAAGCAATCTAGGAAAAAAAAACCATTAAAACAGCATTTTGAATAAATTTGCTACGCATTACATAACTTGGGAACAACAGAGGCATAAGCCCAAGCACAGCCCTAGTATTCCATGTAGAAAAGTACTGTAGAAGAAAAGGTTTAAAAACATTAAAACTCAGGTTCAGATAAACACAGTTTTGGTTCTTCTGTGCTATTCAAATAAAGATTTCATCAGATATTCAGTCTGCTGGGTAGTGCATTTGGGTTGTCACTTCTGGCTGTATCAGTACAAGAATATACACTGTTGCATATACTTTCAGATATGCTTATACATATATAAAAATTCAGATCATGAAAATTTGTTTTAATTAAATACATATCCTTAAAACCTGTGTCTCTAAAAATAAATACATTAAGCTGTTTGCTAGTTGCTACTTCTGAGTTCCCTCACAAGCCAATCAGAACAGTTTTTTGTTTGTTTGTTTGTTTTACAATGTCAGGGACCATTAGCTGCCTTTTAAACCCACTGTCTATAGTAAACACAGAGTGAAGCCGCATCACTGAAATATCCCCCAGACACAGGTGCAACCGCAACAGTGGAAGCATCATCTTGTCCTCCGTGATCAGTCTCTGCAGTGCATTTGCATCTATCCAGTGGGAGGACAGCACTTCCTAGAGACATCTTCTTCAGTTGACATTACCTTCCAACTAAAGAAATAAGCTGCTATTGCTTCTGACGCTTTGTTTGAGGGAACTAACACAACACCATTTGTGTTTGCTATTGCTCCCAGAGATCACAGTGAGTGGTGTGTGATGATCCCACTGAGGTACAGCAGAAGGGGCCCTGGTGTCTGAAAGAAGCAATGTTCTGAGGACTGCAGCACATGAGGGACCTGGGCTCTATTATCTAAGTGCCACATAGTAACTCAAAACCACTGCCGGGATGGAACACCAGACATCTGACACTGTGGCTCAAACAAGAGAAATAGTAAAAACACTCAAAGTACTTTCTAAAGAAAGAATACAATTCATCAGGGGGAAAAGGAGATGTTACTGTTTTACTTTTACCTCTCACCCACCCACCCAAACACACATACACACACACTAAAAACAAAACAAAACAAAAAACCTTTTTAAAATGGGATAGCCAGACCAAAATGTTTAATGTGCATAATACTTGACCTTGTCATTGTTCAGAATATAGAAAACTCAGAAATATAGGAAATCCATGATAAGTGACAGCGAGAATTTTTAATGTCACTGTCTACATTTTTAAGAGGAAAACTTAAAATCCAACTTCTAAAAAACTCAATGTGCTCACAGTTTCAGATTGCTAGTTGTGAATCAAATGTAAAGGTATCTGTTCACATACAAACAAGGCCTCTACTTCACTGACTTCAATCTGATTTAAACCTTTGGATATTTCAGTCTTCAAACTCCACAAGGTAAGGCTGAATTTATCAGGTATAAATAAAATATATAGGTCCATGATGCACTGTAGTTCTGAGAAACCAAATGTACCAAATATACACAGACTGGCTACACGGCTTCCCTTAAGACACATGTGTCAGTACCAAGCCACACTTGTCTCTTTCATTCTCTGGCTGTGAAAATGAGGCGACAGCATTCTTCTCACTCTTTTTTCCTCTTGAGCATGAGGTCAGGCAGGACTAGGTTGGCCGGTGCAGTCTCTTGGGTGGTGGGGGTGGCATGAGCTCCGTGTCAGGGTCCAGGGGATATTTTCGCTTCTGTCCTTGGGCAGCTGTTGCACATCTGTCAATGAACTCAAATAGCATCTCCTTGGTGACAGGGTTCGAGATGCTGTTGCACACAGCTGTGGACAAAGGGGACAACATCTCAGGTAAAGAACTAAGGCAACTGACTCCACACAGCTCTGAAAAACCCTGGCATGTTACCATTGGGCTTCAGGTCAGGGGCTTTTCTAGTGATTACTCTTTGCTGGAGCATTAATTTTAAGCAAAAATGCTAAGGGATTTTAATCAGCACACCTCATTAAAGTTCCTATTCAACTAAAACTTCGACACAGGAAAGTTTTCAAGTCCTTCTCTCAGAAAGACGTTCATTCTGGGAAATACAACAGCAATAGCCATAACAGGAATAGGGAGGTTTTTTCTTTTCTTTGAATAATCAAAATTTAGAAGCAATGTTTTTCATTATATTTATCTATTTGGTTTTTTGGGAGTGGGGGAAGACAATGAAATGAACTCATCTTGTCAGAGCACAGAGGCTACTTAAAAAAAAATAATAATAAAAGGCCCTGAATGTGAAAGTGAAAGTGTATCTTTTAAGGTGAAAAGCCTGCACTGGCGCTCTCTCTCTCTCTCCTCTTCTGCTCTTGTGATCATCATCACCATCAGCAATGGACACTAGACAAAATCTACTAACCTTCAATCTTCCATTGTCCCTTTTACTGACCTTTTCCACTATGTCTACTATTAGAACACCTTATATAAGCTCAAATTAATTTGTGGTTTTCCTCATGAAAACAATACACTTTTCTAAATTTCCAAGGCATTCAGATTATACCCAAAGAACATTCTGAAGGACAGCAGGGCAGTTTGTATGTTTTAAAATGGTTCTCATTTACTTTCTCTCCATTGTTTGTAAAGTTATTTTAGGAACTGGGAAATTACATTTTCCCTTGCTAATTTTGTTTCTTACCATCTGGCAAATAATGGTTTTAATAGTTTTGAATAGATCAGAAATTATCATGTCTTTCACTGTTGTTGTCATTCACTAAGTTCAACTAGTGTGCACCCACCTCCCTGCCCTCTATTGCTCTCCCAGGCACACAGGGCAGTTCCCCAGCTCAAGGAGCTTCCAATTGACTAGAGGTTAGCAAGGTTCTGGCCTGACTGTTTACCTCATCAAGCAGGACAGCACCAACCATATATGTGGGTTTTGACGCCATAATACTCTGTAATTTAATGTAATGGCTACTGTTCATACTTACCCATGGCTGTGTTGTAGGCATTTGGGAAACTCTTGTCTATTCTCTGTCTCATAAAGACCCAGCTGTTATTCTCAAATTTGCATTCTATAATTTTGTTGTCGTACTGTTTTAGTTCTTTTGTCACCTGTTTTAAGAGAGAATTGATGAAAATATTTAAATCATTTGAAAGGCTTTTTGCTTCCACTATGTGACAGACACATTAGGAAATGCCAAAAACATCTCAGAGTAGCTCTTCAAGAAGAGCTCTTTGTCATCTCAAGTGTCTAATCAAGCCTGGAGATATGGTGCACACTCCCAGTACACATGCTCATATATCTGACACTTCAGAGTTGTGAAAATGGCTGTCAATATATAGCAATTAAAAGAAGCTAAGCAAAAAAGCTGCCACTTCTGGGCCAAATGCAAATATGTTACCATGGGGACAATGCCTGCAATCCTGTCTGTGTTTCTCTGGCTTTCAGAAATTGAGTACACCGCTTAAGGTTCATCAACTTTCAGAATGATCTTATCATTTAAATTCCTATGCCAAAACCCAAGAAAATCACTTTATTATGGGTAAAAGGACTACACATAAAAAATAAACACTAGCATCAACTCCAGGCAATGTGCTTCCTAAATCTTAATTTTCAGGCCGTGATAATTAACCTAAACCTACTCGTTAGGCTACATTCCCTTTTCATCTTCCCAGAGAGAATGGATTTAGAGAGGAAACTACTTTGACTCTAGCTGGTGTGTTTCTTGGCTTCTTTACTTCAGATGATTGAATATGGATTACAACATACTCTATCAAAGCCACTAAGTCTCCATGGTAACTATGGTAAGTTTTAAAAGATATTCCATCAGGCTGGGAGAGTGGTTTTCATAAAAGGAACCGAAGCTTATCTTTGCACTTTCCAATCAAATGCCAGTCATGGTAATATTTGAATTCTGTCTTCATCCTTCAGAACTAACAACTCTCTCTCACAATATGGTAGATTGTAATCACTAAACTTCATTAACATTATTTGAAATGCTCTCATTTTCTGCCCACATATTCACTACCACCTAAGAAGATGAAGGGATGCAAATTTTTAAAAGCTGCTTTCAATTCACAGATTAGGGAGGGTACGTCATCATAAAAACTTTCAAACTGCTTTCCTTCCTTCTAGATGAGTGTTGCTTTTGATCGATCATTTGCATTTTCAACAGGCCTAACAGCAGATCCAATTAGCTCAGGAGCAATCTGGCTCTGTTTAGTGACCTAGCCGGAGTGCCCTCAGATAATCCATATTCTAGTCTCCCTTCCCTGATTTAGCAGGAGTCCATCTCCTTGTACTTTTGACTCTTTACTCAAATGCAGGCACTGGACAACTCATTCAATCTAGGCAACCACTTCCGGGTTATGCCATGTAAGGTTTAACAGAATTGAAAGTCTACATTTTCTAATCTCTAAAAGCAAAGGACTTTCTAATACACTAGATCATGGGAAGAAAATGCCTGATACAGAATAGAAAATCAGTAAAAGTATAACTAAAGAGAAAGTTTTAAGAAAGCCAACATCCTGTCTAAGCATTTTAAGGGCATAGTTTAGCAGTACTAGACACATCCACTACTGTATAGTTAACTTTTCCAACTTGTGCACCTTCCAATACTACAATTTTGCACCTCCTACATACCTAGACCTTCCTGTTTTCTGCTTGTGATTTTCTACCCTTTCCACGCAATACATTTCAAATGAGTAGAACTCCATAGTAATTATGTTTCTAAAGCAGTTTATTTTGCTTTAGCACAGCATCCCTGGGGTTCACTCATATTGTAGCATGGGGCAGAGTTCCTTTTTAGGTTACATAATATACCATTATAGACATGCATTAAATTTTTTCAGCCATTCATCTGTTGATGGACATTTTTCTACCTCTTTGCTACTGCAACTAATGCTGTATAAGGGTATAAATATCACTTGGAGAACTTGCTTTAAATTCTTCTGGGTATATACCCAGAAGCAAGACTGCATAGTAATTCAAGTTTTTAATTTTCCAGGTAACTTTTATGCTATTATCCAAAATGGCTAAACTATATCACATTACTAACATTGCATCCTTCGATACTGGCCATCCTGACAGGCGCCAGCTATAATGACACTATGGTTCTTGGTTGCATGTGCTTACTGGTTGTATACCTTTTCTGGAAAACTATCTATTTAACTCCTTTGCCATTTGGGGAAGGGGGTAGGTGTGTGAAAGAGGGTCCCACTTTGTGGCCATCCTGGCCTCAAACTTGTGATCTGTCTTAGCCAAGTGCTGGAATCAGAAGCCTTTGTTCAGATACTTTTACATATTTTAAAAAACATTTCATTAGCATATGTTAACTATAAAAATTAACGCAATTCAGTAGGAGGTTTGCATCTGTACACATGACATATTTGACCATAATTACTTCTCCCATTTCCCTTCCCTTGTTCCCCCAGTGAACTACAGGGCAAAAGATCTTAACCAATTTCCTTTTATTCTGATGCCCCCCCCACTGGAATCCACATAAAAGAAAACCTGTCATGCTTTTTTTCTACTTACTTGAATATGCATTCATATATATTTAGTTTGAGTAATTTATTATTTTAACAGGGGATATATATTACAGAACAATTGGAAGAAGAAATTCAATAGATATTAATATTTGAATGACAAAATATTTTAGTTATTTTGTACTTTTTTATTTATTTTTGAGTTTGGGTGTCTATATTTCTAATCAAGGATTTGGTGTTGTTGAATTTTCATTAACCCTCATCAGATAATATAATTCTTTTCTTCCATCCTATAGGCCACCTTTCTGCTCTGATGACAATAAGCGAGTTTTTAAGTTCGATGTCCCTATTCATTTTTCATTTTGCTGATTGTGATTCTAGTGTCATTCAATAAGTTATTGTCAGATTTTTCCCTAAAGTGTTCCGATTTTTGCTTGTTTTGTTTTTTAATCCTTTGATACTCAATTGTTTAAGGTCTTATGTTTTAGTTTTTAATCGAGTTTGGAGTTAATTTCTTACACAGTAGAGGGCAAGGTCTATCCTTTTTCTTTTGCAGGTTCAGTTTTCTTAGAAGTTTTTATTGAGGAAATCAGCTTTTCCTGCTGTGTAATCATGTTACCTTGTGCAATATCATTTGTCTGTAGGTTGAGGACTTATTTCTGGACTTCCTATTCCACTGATCACTCTAGTTGCTTTTGCTATTGTTTGAGAGAGAGGTTTCCTATATAGCTCAGCATGTCCCCAAATTCATGAATTTCCTGTCTCAATCTCCCAAGTACTATGAGACCACAGGTGTGTGCTAGCACATCTGTCTTTTGGAGGTGGGGGCTATTTTGTTAGATCTGTGATCTACCTGTCTTTGTCAATGATGAAGCGTGACATTTAAACCACTGTAGCTTTGCAGTAGGTGGATAGCCAACTTTGCTATTTGTCAGCTATGTAGAATCCCTGAGAGTTCACATGAATTCTAGCACAACTTTTCCCCTTCTGCAAGACATAGTTAGGGTTTTGATTGCATAGCATCTGAAAGTTGCTATAAATTCTATGGATACCCTGATAACATTATCTTCTGATCATATAACGACTCAATAGCTTTCTCCCCTTAGTTGTGTATCTTTTACTTCTTTGAACAAGAAACATTGCTTATTTTCTTTAAGCCATTTATAAGTAAACTCACTAACAGAATCGCGCTAACATGAAAAGGTACTCTGAAAGCAGCTGTCAACAAAATTATATCTTTGGCATTTTAGAAGAATGTCATCTAGCTTGCTAGTCAACTACTGCAATTTGTTTTTTTACTGGCTAGCAACTGGGGGTAAGTACCATATAGTTTATCACTCTTGTGTTCTCAGTTTCAGACTTGTTTTAAATTATCTGTGGTTTGATCTGACTACATCAATTGAGTAGCATTATTAATTATCTACTGTAGCTGCTTGGACAAGTATTAGGATTCCAGGAAAATCTTTCTAGAAAATGCATGGACCTGTTACTACTAACTTAAATTTATGTCCATATTTTATAAGAAATGGTTCTATATACATTATATTCCCACTAGAGACAGGCTTCAAGGTAACATTTGATTGGATGGTAAATATATTTAACTGGTAAAAATAGTATCTCTCATATATGCACAAACTAAAGTTTCTACTAATGGTCTCATTGAAAAAAATGAATGAGGTACAGAGGAGTAACTTAATTTTAGTATCCATATTCATCTTCAGTCAATTACATTATCACTGACTAAAAGAGGACCCCTGTTGGTCTTCTACATCAACTCTGTTATCCTAGTTCGAGTTAATGAGTGCTTAATAGTAAAAAGAATAAAATATTTATAAATTAGAATCACACTATATCCATTACTATATTATAAACTGATTTAATAATCTAAATGAGAACACACAATAAAACCTCAAAAGCCATGCTAAGTGCTGGTAGCTTGCACAAAGAGGGTGGAAATAGTTCTATTTCTGGTGGTAGGACAGGGGCCTGCAGGGCAGCCGGCCGTATCAAGTGGCTTCTGTTTGCTCTGACGTTATTAAAACAAAACAAAATTACCCATATACCAAGAAGGCCATCAGGAGTTTCTACTTTCTTACATTTAACATGGAATGATTTTAGATTGACAGAAAAGTTGCAAATGTGGTAGGGGAAATTTTCTATTTTCTACTGCTACTTTCTGCTAACATTTATATTCCACTTATCAGTGTATAGCTACCAACTCTAAAAATTTAACATCTGTATAATATAAAGACTATCAGGACTTCTGTGTCATCATCTATGACAGAACTCAATCCAAAAAACCACTTGGTTTAATCACCACATACTAGCTTCTCCCAATCTGTAGCAATTACTCAGACAGTCCTCAGCTTTTTCATTACTAACTTATGCTCTGTAACCCAGGCTGGCCTCCTATCACGGTTTCCTCCCCCTGAGTCCCCTCAAGCACTGGGATTATAGGAATGAGCATCACATCCAGCTCTCTGGATACTTGAATGAATGCCAATTAGAAATTTCAAGAATGATGTTCAAAGTAGGACTTTTTTCCCCGTTTGCTCATGGTAAAGAATTTCTGGGTGTGGCAAGGAGTGCCCTTCTGGTCCTACCACACAATACTAGCTCGCTGT